CTGAGTTGGCGCAACTCTGTATACAGGGACCTTAGGCGGCGCCCCCTACGCTCAGGTCGCGCGTGTGATGGCGGCGCCCCCTACGCTCAGGTCGCGCGTGTGATGGCGGCGCCCCCTACGCTCAGGTCGCGCATGTGATGGCGGCGCCCCCTACGCTCAGGTCGCGCGTGTGATGGCGGCGCCCCTATCAGACCTGCCAACCCTTACGATTTTTTCGTATTCCTTACGAGTTCCATAATGTTTCTACGAATGTACGATCAAACTGAAAAACTTACGATTTTTATGACTTGTGAAAATTAATGTTTTTTACATTGTGAGCCGAGAAATATCTGGCGATTGTGGGCGCAGCCATATTGGATCACACGTTCACATTGTTCTCGCGTGATCTAGAGTTAGTCCCATCATTCATTGCGCGCATAACATACAAACAAAATGGCCGCTTGCTGCAAGAAAAGAAAATCCTTACTATTTTCATGAATCACAGGTTGGCAGGTCTGCCCTATAAGGATTGACTGAGGATTGTTAATGATACAGGCGGACGCCAGCGATTTATTCAGCCACGCGCGAAACTCGTTAAACTTTCCGTAAATTCGTTAAGCCTCTCATGTGGCCGCCGCCGCCGCGTTTTTCCTGCGTCTGGCCGTCTTCCGCGGAGTGAGCATTTAGTAGGAACTTGGGGAGGGTATTGGCCCTCGGTTGCAGCGCGCGCACGGCGTGGGAATGAGCCCCCCCCCTGGCGGCCCACGTACGGCGTTTACGTCAGCCCGCGTTTTTCTCGCGGAGAATTTTGCGACGGCCGCGATCGGGAAATGCATGCGCGCATTTGTTTTATAAGGTGTTTTTTTTTTACAGTTTTTCATAATTTACGCATCTTTTTTTTCTACAGATGGAGCTGGATGAGAAGGAAATGCGACGAGAGATAAGCTATGCGATTAGGAACATACATGCAATCAGGTGCGCGGGGGGGGGGGGGTCGAGTTACCGCGGCGACCCTCAGTCGTCGTGATCATTATTATGCCTCGGTCGTCCCCTCGCACGCGACGCCGCAGCCAAACCTTATAACATACGTTAAACAATAACTATGTTATCGTATGTAAATATATAATACATAATACATTAATGTATTAATTCGTGTGTATTTATATAGTAATGTCGGTTGTGTGTAAATATGTGCTACGAACCATATTCGTTAACTATTTTCCCATCAGCATTCCATGTTTGTTATCGATTTTCCTGTCAGCGTTCCATGTCAGCGTTCCATGTCACCGTTCTATATTCTTTAACGGTTTCCACGGCGGCATTCCATATTCGTTATAGATTTACTGCCCGCATTCCATGGCGGCATTCTGTGTTCCATGTCAGTCTACCGTGTCGGCATTCTGTGTTCCGTGTCGGCATTCTGTGCCGGTGTTCAATGTTCCGTGTCCGCGTTCTGTGTTCCGTGTCAGCATTCCGTGTCGGCATTCCGTGTTGGCGTTCCATGTTCCGTGTCGGCGTTTCCTGTTCCACGTCGACATTCCGTGTTGTCTACGTTCTTTATTTATAAAAGATCTTTCGCGTCGTCGGCAGGGTGGGACTGTTCACGCCGGACCTCGCATTCGAGGCGATATGCAAGAAGCAGATAACACGTCTGAAGGAGCCGTCGCTGAAGTGCGTCGACATGGTCATCCAGGAGCTGTCCAAGGTCATACAGAAGTGCGGCGAAAAGGTGAGAGAGAGTTGGGAAAAGGGTCGTCCAGAAGTGCGGCGAAAAGGCGAGAGAGAGTCAGGGAAAGGGTCGTCCAGAAGTGTGGTGAAAAGGTGAGAGAGAGTCGGGGAAAGGGTCGTCGGCAGAAGTGGCGGGCGGAAAGGTGAGAGAGAGTGGGGAACAGGGTCGTCCAGAAGT